CAAGCTGAAGTTTTGGTTTGTGGGGGTGCTCCTAAAGGATCTTATCTCCAAGCCGTGAGAGGTAAATTCATTGCAGCCTTGAAGACTTGCGCGAGGATGACAATAACCGACCCCAACCCACAGTGGGTCATGGAGACTATGCCCATGGCTAGAGTTATGAGTGACATGATTTTGCTCCCAAACGGCAAGGTTTTGATTATCAACGGGGCAGGTTCTGGATCAGCAGGATGGGAATTGGGTCGGAACCCTGTTTTAAGTCCAGTCTTGTACCTGCCCGATAATAAAATTGGGTCACGGTTCGAGACACAAACCCCGACAACAATTCCTAGGATGTACCACTCCACAGCAGTTTTACTTCGTGACGGGCGAGTTTTAGTTGGTGGAAGTAATCCCCACACGTTTTACAACTTTACGGGAGTCCTTTTCCCTACAGAACTAAGCTTAGAGGCATTTTCTCCAGCATATTTAGACTCTAAATTCAATACTTTGCGACCGACAATCGTTGCTCCGAAGTCTTCGTCCGGGATTCAATACGGGGAAAAGTTAACCGTTCAAGTGGTGATCACGGGTAAAGTAGCTCCAAATTTGGTTTCGGTAACAATGGTAGCACCATCTTTTACTACACATTCATTCTCCATGAATCAAAGGGTACTCGTACTTGGAAATGACAAAGTGACGGCGTCGGGGAAATCAACGTATAACATTGACGTCACAACGCCACGTTCGGATAATCTTGCACCGGCTGGGTTTTATCTTTTATTTGTGGTTCATCAAGGCATTCCAAGCCAAGGCATTTGGGTCAAATTGCGGTAAAGGAAATGCAAAAGACTCATTCAAAATATCCAAATTAAAGGTTTGTATGTTCATAAAATATTTGTTCCCATCTGTACACTTCTTATTATTCTTCTCGACGTGACTTAGTTGGTTTTTTTTTTTGTTTTTGTATATTCAGCAATCTCTGTAAATTGCTCTTATAGAATTAGGATACCATGTTTGTAACTTTGTCCTCTACAAAACCAAGTGTATTTACGAAGCTCGATCAATAAAGAGGATTTGTTTTAATCAATTGTTCTTATCTTCCCTTGCATTTTAACTTTAATTGTAACTTGCTAAGCAGTCATTATGGTTAAATTTATGCCTCAAATTGAGTTAATTATTTTGTATGGTTAAATTTCTTCCCTTCCTCCATTTTTTCATGCGGAAAACATTATTATTGCAGCTGTTTTCTGTTCTTTACTTTACTATAGCATTGGTCATGGCTTCAGGATTCTCCATGAAATTGTAGGCCTTCACACAAATAGCAATAGCAACCAAGACCAACCAAACTATTAATGCGGGATTGGTTGTTGTTGTTATATATCCTGTCTGTTGCACTAGCTTTATGAGGAGAAGTCGGACAAAGAATTCGGTCAAATACTTGTTCCATATCAAAGATGATTTAATGCAAAGACCAGTCGATTCTTCGAGCTGACATTGACAGAACGTCATGTACAAACCAAGCCGACCTTTCTCTAAACTAAGTCGGCCTATTCTCTATGAATTTCAACCTTTTTCTGATCTCCTTCTCGTTTTGTTTGTTTTAGCATGACATACAGTGATTTATATGCCATTCATATATGACAGAATATATATATATATATATATATATATATTAATATATGCCATTCATGTATTTATATTGGAGGGAGAAGTTTAAAGGTTGTGTTGGATCAAAAGCTGGATAATTAATGACAGAATCGGGACAACTACTTGTTCTTGAGAGGGAGAAACCGATGGTTTTTCTAGAAATTGTGTGCGTGTGGGTGTGGCCTTTAGTGTCACGGGGCTGTTGGGAACTTTCCAGGAATCAAAGTTCACGGGCACAAGTTGTTAGTAAGGGTCTGCAAATTTGGCTTAATTTCCTCTTAGCAGAACCATATAACCAGTCACCATGAAGTAGATGAAGATCAGTATATGCCACCATAAATAGAATGACGGGTTTGGTATATTGTCTACGAGATAGGGAAATAGGAATGTGGATTTCAGCATAATAATAGGAACCATGTGAAGTTATATTTTGCACGTAGGTTCTTGAATTTAAGTGGAGGACAGGAAGAGTGGGGTCTTTGCCAATTGTTGAAAACTGCAAAGCGGGAGTAGCTTTCTACTGAAATAAATAAATAAAAGGTTAACGAAGGAGTAGATGTGCGAGAGAAGAGGCACATGGAGATGCCATCGTTGCGTTGCCTTGCATCATGTATATAGATGATGGACCATCCAGCCATGGGTCTCACTGACTGCATCAAATAAAGACTGATAAGCCAGCTCACCTGACGCAGATCCTGCATGCACGCCTGCCTGAGAACAGGGAAATACAAAAGAAAGGCCGAAACGACAGAGCTCTAACCAAGTCCAACTTAATGAAATTTGACTTTATGGCTGAGCAAAGGAGCTTAGATGGCAACTTTCATGATCTCTAAAGCCACATTATCTTGGGCCTCAGCTCAAAACGACAAGTTTAAGCCTGACCCAATAGGCTAACTTAGCTCTATTTCTGGGCCATTGGAGATATCAGGAGGGCGTTAGTCCATAGAAATTTTTTTTTAGCTTAAACGACGCAGCAGCGAGCCAGCAACCATTCCAGGAGCGAACGGTCCGTTGGCGTGAGGTTGGTGATGGAGGGTACTAGGACGAAGGGCTAGGCATGGGCTTGGATAAGATTAATCAATGTCTGCATTGCAATGATAGTTGTTTGAGACTGAGGATTAGTAAAAGGTTTATGTCTTTAACTGTACAAGGAATTGATTAATTTGAAATAAGCTTGTCATCAGCGTATCTAATTAAGAGCTATATTATAATTCTGATAGTTATATATCTATATATATAATTTTATAATACAATAATTTTTCTTGTATTAGCAGCAATAATCAAATTAGCTATGTCCGTTACCACCTTGAAGTGTTTTAAAGGATTATTCCGAGGGACTTTAGATTCTTGAAATGCATTATAAAACTAAGACAAGTTGAAAATCTGCATGCCAAAGCCCAATACAAATTCAAGCAAGAAAACGTCTGGGAGCAAGAGATAAAGACATTTTGGGAATCGAATATTAGGTTTTAAATGATCTGACTTCATCAATCTGAACACTGATCATGATAGTAACACAGCAGCTACCCAATCATCGAATTTCTTTTCCAAGTAAATCGCCATAAACAATAATCTTCAAAAGAAGCTAATCCATTGGAAGCACTAATCTTCCAAGGAAAAGAAATGTTGTTTGACTTAGTTTATTATATCTTTATACATATCATAAATATATTTTATATATATGTTAAGCACCTGGTTTATTATATAATAGCTAAAACTGTAAGAAGAACAAATGTCAACGCTTTATAAAGCCCAGAAATATATCAAAGTTGAAGGCTTACGAAGTTAGTGTTTCACTACTTTCCTATGATTATCCTTCTGCATTAGACCAGCAGGCATCAGCTATCCATGTCAAATACGTAGCATTTGTCAAACAGATGAGAGCAAAATTTTCCCATTGTCAGAATTTTGACCTGACGATGAGGATAATGTATAGAATTGGAAGTTGAAATCCCAGTTCTTAGTAGAGAATATCAGAACTTATTACTATTTATAAATTCAGAGAATATTTCTTGGGTTAGGTTAATCAACCAGCAAAATTCTCTTGACTCGAATATTTCGGTTGACAAAGCATTTTAATCATGATTATGTATTTTACGTATTCTTTTCTTTCTTGCTTCTTTGAAGAAAATAAGTTTCATACCCAACGTTCTGAAGTCCTGATCAAAGTAACCCGAAGTTATCAAGGGGGCAAGCAACGTGAAGAAAATGCAGTGGGAAAACAAATAAACAAAAGAATGTTGCAGAATCTTGGGAGGTCAATCTATATCTCATTCAATGGATAGAATGTTGCAAAGTCTAAGGTCTTGTTTTGTTTGTCCCCTTAAAACTAATGTTACACCTAATTAAGAATGGCAAAACAGCTGACTCTGAGAGACGACATAACAAATAAATAAATAGTTTTGTCAGGATTAATATAAAACATGAGAACACAAAAAAAGATTGCACAGCTCATTGAGGTTCCAATATTTCCAAACATTTTAATTATTCATGAACACTGTATATACTCTATTTTCATTTGCACATCTTGGGTATGGAGGCTTTCGATTTCCATAGCGATTGAATGACCAACCAGTTCAATTATTACGAGATTTCATGAAAAGGTTCATGTACTACTCTTTATCACAATATTTTTACCTAATTGAATTTCCCGGTTGACAAAGAACAGAACAGGTTCAGACTTTGAGCTGATTTTTTTATTTTTTTACAAAAAAAGTTCATATTAATTAAATTAAAAATATCATTTGCAGACCAGTTTAACCCCGAGAAAACAAAAACTCGAATATAGGTTGGAGGGTAGCCATTAATTCTTTTGCAGAGTCAATTGGCTTCTGTAAATTAGTCACTTACAGTCCCCACCTGTCTAGATTTGGCTCTTTGGGGTGTCATTTCGAAGGACGTCCTATGGCCTGGTCCATGGTGTTGAGAAATCAGTCAACCAGGGGGTAACTATCTGACTCTTGGCAGGGTATCTCTGAAGCAGAACTGGTCATTTAAAATCCTTTTGCTTGTAAAGTCGCATCTCTCCCAAGTCGAGCCTTGTAAATTTTTATTACATTCAACTCCGAAGGATTAATTAATTAACGTCTGATGTAGACTCCACAGAAAGAAGACAACACGTCATCCAACTTCGGAGTAAGATATTACCAGCAAAACAATGAGCCGAATTCAAACCGTGGGACATTTATTCATCTTTCCCCCTATATTGCCTAATTTTAAAACCAAAAAACCATCATCTTTACTAACCAGAACAAGACTGACACGCGTCACACATGCGTGTGTGATTTTCAAACCTTCATTCCTTCTCTGCTTCAGGAGGCATTTATAACGAGCAACCAGTAGACAACCTTGATCAGCAACAGCCCACAGTACTACGGCGGCAAATAATTGACACCCATAAAACAAAAGCAAAAACCCCTCCAATCCAATCAAACATGACCCCAACATTCATTTTCTCAATCCTCCTACTTCAACTCCTCTTTGCCTCACAGCCATGTCACCTTATCCTCACCTCCGCAGCCGACGGCCGCTGGCAGCTTCTACAGAAAAGCATTGGCGTCTCAGCCATGCACATGCAACTCCTTAGAAACGACCGTGTTGTCATGTTTGACAGAACTGATTTTGGCAAATCTAATTTGCCATTGCCAAATGGGAAATGTCGTACTGACCCAACTGACACAGCTCTCAAAGTAGATTGCACCGCTCATTCAGTTGAGTACAATGTTTTGACCAACAAGTTCAGGGCTCTCACGGTCCAAACCGACGTTTGGTGCTCTTCAGGCGCTATCATGCCTGACGGAAATTTGGTCCAAACCGGTGGTTTCAATGACGGTGAACGTAGGGTCAGGGTTTTTAGCCCATGCAGCACCTGCGATTGGCAAGAAATACCAAATGGATTGGCAGCCAAAAGATGGTATGCCTCTAACCATGTTTTGCCAAATGGCAAACAGATTATTGTCGGTGGTCGCGGACAATTTAACTACGAGTTTATCCCTCAAAATGTTGTCGAGAACACCATCAAGTTGCCTTTCTTGTCTGAAACCAATGACCGTGGAGTAGAGAACAATCTCTATCCTTTTGTTTTCCTTAATGTTGATGGAAACTTATTTATTTTTGCTAATAATCGAGCTATTCTGCTTGATTATGTGAACAATAAAGTTGTGAAGACTTATCCGACAATACCAGGTGGCGATCCTAGAAGCTATCCAAGCACTGGTTCGGCT